ATCTTTACCACCTTTTACTGTCAGAGGTGGAAATATGGTTGCCCATGCCACATCTTTACCACCTTTTACTGTCAGAGGTGGAAATATGGTTGCCCACACCACATCTTTACCACCTTTTACTGTCAGAGGTGTAAATATGGTTGCCCACGCCACACCTTTACCAGCTTTTACTGTCAGAGGTGGAAATATGGTTGCCTACGCCACATCTTTACCACCTTTTACTGTCAGAGGTGTAAATATGGTTGCCCACGCCACACATTTACCAGCTTTTACTGTCAGAGGTGGAAATATGGTTGCCCACACCACATCTTTACCACCTTTTACTGCCAGAAATGGAAATATGGTTATTCTCAAAAATAACAAAAACGGAAAAGTAAGGAAGAAAATATTCAGAATACATTACATCAATAGGGGAGACAGCAGAACTGTCCTTTAAGTTGACATTCCAGCCTCCAGTATGATGTTTGGACAAATACCAAGATGTTAAGGTACTAGTTATATGTAAAAATATATGACAAAGATAAAAATACACTAGAGATTTTGATCAGGTTAACTAGATAAAGAACTTCTGCTTGTAATGATTTTTTACTGAAACCATTCTTTAGACTCTTTTATTCTTTAATAAGATGTAAGCATTATAATCAAGGTATTACAAGCAGAAGGAGTCCATGACAATTCTACAAACAGCACACATTACCAACCAATTAATATCCGTTTCAAAGATAAAAAATCCCATAGCCAATCACAATTAAATAACAAATATTTTTTAGGTTCTAAAATACACTTGTACACATGAATGTGCATGTGTGGAATACACAATTGTGGTTAAATAATACAGCAGAAAAACATGAGTAAACTGAAAAACAGAAGGAAACTATCAAGAGATGCAAGCAGTATTTGCATAATGGTTTGTCAAGCTGAAGGATGATTTATAAAACTTGATAAAGACACACCATTAATTAGATACCTGCATGAAAGAATTACAAAGCACATGAAAATTTTGAGTAGAATGTAACCCATGCATACATTTATTTCCAGAACTTACCATATGTAGTCAGTAAATCTCAATGTGATCATTCAAATTTTACTTTGCTCAATTAAAAAATGCAAATATCAATTTTTTGTTGGCTACTTATGATGAAAAAGTGTATAAAGCAACTGATTTCAAGTGTTTAACATTAGATGAAGAGAAGAATACAAAATGTATGTTAATTACTGGAAGCAATGAATAAAAACCCTATCACCAGAGCACTTTCGAAAGTTGGACCTTTCTCCTATAGGGGCAAATTGGTGAATGGAGGTGTAATTGAATGAGTGATGTGTATATAAAAGGAGTTTAGTGATCATCCGGTTTTCCAGGAAATGTTTAGTCTATTTCTCTATATACTGTTGTAAGCGTCATATTTCCAATATAATGTAGCTGATTGCAAGAGCATAATGTGAAAAAGGTGTTAGGTATATTTTACTTTAGAAATGGCTAAATATATGTATATTTAAAACTACACTTAAGTGTTTAAGTAAAAGTAAGAAATACAATATGTATACTAATTACTGGAAGCCTTATTATATTTCATCAAACACTCAGTAACTTCCAGACCAACAAACTTGCATACATAAATTCTTTAAAAACAAATTACTTACAATTATAAAATTAGATTTATAAGATTTTCCTCTGAAAAAATGTTTGATATGCAACAAGTTAAAAATAATTTTAATTTTGTCTATGGTTTCAAACTCAACACTTTTCATTCATTTAGAAGTTATAAATATTTCATTTTAGTGTGTTAAACTTCATTATAGCTTATGATACAAAAATGGCAAACTTCACAGAAGGGAGTAGCTTGTAGTTAGGTTAATGTAAAAGAAGTGTTGAAGCTACTAATGTTTCATATGTGCAACATTCTTACAGTTTTTAAAAGTCAAAACCATACACTGCATGATTACACCAACACATAAAGTGAAATATGATGTAAAACTGATTTTAGAACTTTGGTCGTGTTACATTTTGTGAATAGTGAAAAATCTTTTGATATCAATATTTGACCTCAATTTTCTTGTCAAAGACCATACTCTTCATCATTTGTGTAACCTTAAATCTGATTCCTTTTAGTGTTTTAGATAGTGCAGGAGAGAATTATTTTATAACTTTGTAATGCCACCAAAATACTCCAAATTTCAGAGTTATGAAGATATTTCGAAAGTTCTAGGTTAAATACAGACTTGTAAATTAAGCTTACATGCACAAAAACAGACTTTCACAGATGAGTTCCAAATCTTACCGAGAAAAATATGGCACTCCAAAAAAAAACAAAAAAACTTATGAACATGAAAATAAATATAAAAAAAATGTGACTTAGTGTAAGAGTAAAAGGCTTTTAAAAGAAATGCACTGTCAAAGAATATTCACAGCGTGCCACAATGCAGCTGAAAACACATGTCAAGCAGCTATTGTAGAATTGAAATAAAAATTCATGACAAAGAAGAAAGAAGATAAAACCATGAAGAAAAAGTTGACTTTGAAAATAGAAAAATGATAGCAGGAGGATGGAAAGAAGAAGAAGAATATTTCCCACATCCTCCAACCTGTTTTTGTGGTTTTTTCACTTTTTGCAGAACAGGCCAGTCAGGTATTATTTCTGCCAATGATTTCTGTCGACCATACTCATCTCGTGAACTACGTTGTTCCTCAAGCTTCTACAACACAACATACTAACATTGTTGACCAACATACTGATATGTAAAGATACCGTTGGACCGGATGTAATTCAATATCAAATAACATTTAAAAATTGTAACATGGACATAAGATTTCAAAGGTAATATACAGATACTCGTGCAATAACATTAAATATGTGTAAACACAAAACACTAACATTTTAATGAGATGCTGAAATAAAATTTCACAAATGATAAGCTTAATTAAAAATATTAACCTGTATACTAACACAGTTAAATCTAAACAAAATTTCTCAAAGTATAAACTGTATTAACATAGCACACAATCACATTAGAATAACTAACAAATCTGTTACAACATTAATTATACTGTAGTTTTAGATATGTACTTGGACAGACAGTAATTAGCTCTTCTTCTTCTTGTACAACAATTAACTTAACATATTTGTATCATTTTGATGAAATATTAATTTCA